TCCATGGCTTTCTGATGAGGAGTATCCCATTTGTAGGGCGTATCCTTTTTCAGGAGGTCGGTTAGTGGCGCTGCTATCTTAGCGTACTTAGGCACGAACCTGTTGCAGTCGTTGGCGAAGCCTAGGAATTGTTGCAACTCCTTCACGTTCTCCTGTACTTTCCACTTCGTAACGGCTTCGATCTTCCGTGGGTCCACGTGTACGCCCTCCGCACTCACCATGTGCCCGAGAAACTGCACATTCTTTAGGGCGAAGTTGCTCTTTGATAGCTTCACGCAGAACTTGTTTTTCTGCAGGATCTCGAAGACTTTCTGCAGATGCTCCACGTGCTCCTTCATATTATTGGAGTAGATGAGAATGTCGTCCAGGTACACCACCACGCACTCGTCCAGCACGGGGCCGTAGGATGTGATTCATCTCCACCTGAAACGTTGCTGGTGCATTGCAGAGTCCGAACGGCATCACCAAGAATTCGTAGGAGCCGTATCTGGTACGGAACGCCATCTTGTGGATCAAGTTGTCCGCCATCTTGATCTGTCAGTTACCCGACGTAGGTCCAGTTTCGAGAATACAGTTGCACCACGCAGTTAATCTAGTAGGTCGTCTTTGCGCGATATGGGATATTTGTTTTTTACTGTCTGTTTGTTCAGTGCACTGTAGTCGATGCACATCCGTAAACTGCTGTCTGGTTTTGGAGTGAAGAGAACTGGTGCACCGTAGGGAGAGGTGGATGGGCGGATCAGTTGTCTGTCCAGTAGATACTCTATCTGCTTCTTCATGTCTGTCAATTCTGTTGGACTCAGTTGGTATGGTGCACGTGAGACGGGTTTCGCACCTGGTTCCTCCACGATCTCGTGCTCATGGGTGCGTGCGGGAGGCACTCCTTCAGGTAGGTCGTCTGGCATGATATCTTTGTACTGCTCCAACACCTCCTTCACTGCTGCAGGTAGCTCTATGTTCGGCTTCTCCACCTCTGCTGCTGCCAAAAACTAGTGCTAAGTAACCCGTGTTACTATCGTTCACCATCCGTTCGAACCGTGCCAGTGTCATTTCAGGAACGCTCCCTGTATCTGTCCAGCTTCGCAGCTCCACCCGTTTCCCATTGTTGTAGATGCACGCCTTCCGATTGACCCAATCGATCTTGGGGTTGAACCGCTTCAAGAAATCTCGCGTCAAGATGAAATCGAAACCCTTGATGTTCGTGATCGGCAACGTCGGCTTCCACCTCAGCGCCCCTATGTACACCTGCAGCGATGCTTCGCAGTGGATGGGAAGTTTCGTACCGTCCACCATCGTTGCCGTGAACTTGGTCTCCTCCGAAGGTTCTCCAATTTTCTCCAACGCCCCGCGGTCGCACACCGAGTGGGACGCACCACTATCCACCAGCGCCTGGAGGCGTTGCTCGCTGCAGATCACCTCGAGTAGTAGTGGTTGTTGCTGCTCGGAGTAACCGTAGATGTTCTCGCCTATAGGATCGTAGGGTACGTCGAATAGATCATCCCTAGGTCCTGCGCTCGAAGCTACTGACTCAATATCAGTTTTCAACTAAGCAGGGTTAGAAGGATTTATCTGAGGCTGATTCAGCCTTGTCTTGGCCTGGAACCTTCCCCTGAGCATGTGTAGGCTTCACCTGTGGGCAATGGGGAGCCGTAACACTATGTTGCGGGGAGAAAATATTAACTTATCGGAACGCAAAACCCTCTGGAGTGGTTTGCCCAACTTCTGAGGTACCTGAATAATCTCTAAGTTCTTTTTCTAATCTCCCCTGAGTTTATCAAAGGCTTGAAAACCACGAGAAGTAATATTCTTAGTTAAAGTACTTTCGTGGGTGTTCGGCAAGAGTTTCTCGGTCGGTGCAGAGTCTTGTTTCGCGGAGCCTCCATTTATCTCGGCAATTTTCCCTGTTGCCGGCAGGTCGTGACGTTTTAAATTCGCGCCATCATGATCTCCTTTTTTCGCCTGCTCCGAAGTCGCCACGTCGTCGCCTTTTCGCCTTTTTCGGATCTTTTCATGATCGACAGGTCGATCCGCGGCTACTGGCGGTTCCCGTTTTTTTTTTACTTTGGGGGTGCCGCACTGTTGTTGCCCTGCAGCTCCGCTCGTGCCTTCTTCATTTACCAACACACCAAGAATCGATCTCCTGCTGCGCCGCAATTGACGAACCAAGGATCGCTTCAATCGGAGCACGAACGAGAAAGTTACGAACGGATGAAGTTCTTATGCTTCTTTTATTTGGTTTGAAGACTTTGGGAATTTGTGTGGTGAACTCTATATAGGGTATAGACCTTTGAGGGTTGGAAAAGTCCGTCATTTCATTGTAGTTGCTGCCAAGTGGTTGGGGCCAAACCAGATTGGCAAGTGTGGCCAAGTTGAGTGAGGTGGATTGCATGGGATGGGAAAGAGACAAATGTCAAAGTTAAGTTTTTTAGGGAGGGAATCTGGTGTGTTTATGGGGTTTCCTTGGTTGGAAACTCCTTGTGGACCTTCCCTCTTATCCTCCTCATCCTCTCCTATTTGGTTCCTTGCTACTCCAAATCCTTGTGTGGTTCTTGGGATGAACTATTAGGATTGAGTTAAGTTCAGCTACAGCATACCCCCCAGTGCGCCAAAATTAGTAGCTCATGATTACTACCTTTTAATACAATTCGAATTGGGGATAGTAGCTTGGTTCTATAGGTACAGCATATTTGTGAAGTTTTAATGGTGAGTTATCGTCGACGGCGATTCTTGTTTGTCGACATTTCTGTCCAGAAACTTAGTTGACGATTTTGAGTTATTTCGCCCCCCCTGATCTACATAACTCCGTCCTTGATCCTAACATTTTTCGGAGTCGAGGTGTTCTTTAGGATACTAATGTTTAAGGCGATACCCCACGCACTAATTCTGCAATATCACTGTTTGCACGGTGCTGCGTTGGAGTGGTGGCGTCATACTCTGATGTTTGAGGGGACTTAGGCGGCGACGACACATGCAAACGACGGAGCATCAACAATTGTCAAGCAACCAACAGAATCAATCTTCAGCGTGGCTACGATACGCAAATAGAAGGAGTGGGGCACCGCCTTGCGAGGTAGGTTCAGGCCTTTTTTCGCCTCGGGTTCTTCTCGCATCGCTTGGAAACTGCTGACATCGGTCCAAGACTACATGACGAAATTTGACGCTTTTGCTGACCCTAGTAGATGACATGGGCGATGCAGAGTGACTTGACAAATACGTCGTGAGCCTCAAGTACAAGATACGGTACAAGGTGCAACGCACACGACCACGAGTCCGTCCAGCTGGCTAGCCGAATCAAAGGGATGTACTGATGCAATGGGCGAGGGTGAGTTCCGGGAGGGCAATTGCTTTCGTGGATCAACTCAGCAGCCTACTATTAACGACGTGGATGTTCAAGCATTATGGCCTTACATTTTATGCAACCAGCTGGGTCACATGAAGAGAGACTGCCTGAAACTGAACTAGGTGAAGAAGGACGACAAAGAAGGGCTAGGAAAAGTTACGAGTCAGTAGCAACCGTGCGCCCTACTGACGAGACCATGTCGCCCGGCAATCTACATTCACACCAAGTTGTGGTTTCGATCCATGCAATCAACCGCCGTTAGAAATAAAATGGAGGAACACGTGGATGACCCTGTGCTGGTGGCAGGGAGGGTCAACAGATATAAAATGAAAATATTCGTCCACGGCGGGGCTAGTCACAGCCTCATCAACTTGTCAATAGCAAAAAAAACGGAGTCAAGCTGGACAAGCATCTGCCCGAATTGACACGCGACTGGTGGACGAGAAACCGCTGGTCATTTGTGAAAAAGCGCAAAAAGTTCGGATAAAGTATGGCGACGACTTTGGGTATGGAGATGCTTGCGACGATGTTGGACGGTTGCGAGATGCTGCTAGGTGTTGAAAAGTAGGAGTAGGGCCTAGGCTTAGTAGCCTAGGCCAAAGGGAGTCGAGAGAGTTTAACAAGAAGAAGTGAGGGTTTCACTATAGCAAACAAGGAACATATAGGCAAGAGAACAAGAACAAGAGGTGCACCACCAACAGTTAATAATAACTACACTAAACTACAGCTACAGGCAGTTACACAAATATATTCTGGCACTCCCCCATAACTGCCTGCAGCAGGAGTTTGTGCAGCGACACTTCAAGGATGGGTAACCAAGCAGAAGAAGAGGCGAAGTGAGGAGGAGGAGGAGGGGTTGTGAGAGGAGAGGAGATGGGAGGCGACGGCTGAAGCTGCAGACACACGGGCGACAGGAGCGGCTGGCACAGTGGCTACCGGGACAGCGCCCCGGACTACTAGAGTAACTGGCTCCGCGGCTAACTCTGAGCGGCAGGAGCAACGGACCCACGGGCGACAGGCGCAGCAGGCTCTCTGGGCTACCAGCGGCAGAGCCCCGGACTACAGGTGCTGCGGACGACAAGACGGCAGCCTCCGCTCAACCTCCCCCAACTGTCCCACACCCCTCTCACACACCGACTGCTGCACCCCTAGCTCCACTACCACGGCACCCCCCTAGCGCCACTCCCTTCGGCTCCCACACATCCACCCTCAGCGGCAGCTGCAGCAGTGGGAGACGGAGGAGGAGAAGGAAGGGACGACGCACACGTATCACCCCCACACCCGCCACCCCCATACCCTCCGTTCCACGGCTGCACGCGCAGCAGGGAGACGAAGAAGGGGGAGGGGGGAGGGGGGGGGGGGGGGGGGGAAGAGCACGGGCAGCACAGGCACGGGCAGCAACGGGCGGCAACGGGCAGCACAGGCACGGGCAGCAACGGGCGGCAACGGGCAGCACAGGCACGGGCAGCAACGGGCAGCACAGGCACGGGCAGCAACGGGCGGCAACGGGCAGCACAGGCACGGGCAGCATCGGGCGGCAACGGGCAGCACGGGCACGGGCAGCAACGGGCAGCAACGGGCAGCACAGGCACGGGCAGCAACGGGCGGCAACGAGCAGCACAGGCACGGGCAGCAACGGGCGGCAACGGGCAGCACAGGCATGGGCAGCAACGGGCGGCAACGGGCAGCACAGGCACGGGCAGCAACGGGCAGCACAGGCACGGGCAGCAACGGGCGGCAACGGGCAGCACAGGCACGGGCAGCAGCGGGCGACAACGGGCAGCACAGGCACGGGCAGCAACGGGCGGCAACGGGCAGCACAGGCACGGGCAGCAGCGGGCGACAACGGGCAGCACAGGCACGGGCAGCAACGGGCGGCAACGGGCAGCACAGGCACGGGCAGCAACGGGCGGCAACGGGCAGCACAGGCACGGGCAGCAACGGGCAGCACAGGCACGGGCAGCAACGGGCAGCACAGGCATGGGCAGCAACGGGCGGCAACGGGCAGCACAGGCACGGGCAGCAACGGGCGGCAACGGGCAGCACAGGCACGGGCAGCAATGGGCGGCAACGGGCAGCACAGGCACGGGCAGCAACGGGCAGCACAGGCACGGGCAGCAACGGGTGGCAACTGGCAGCACAGGCACGGGCAGCATCGGGCAGCACAGGCACGGGCAGCAACGGGCGGCAACGGGCAGCACAGGCACGGGCAGCAACGGGCAGCACAGGCACGGGCAGCAACGGGTGGCAACGGGCAGCACAGGCACGGGCAGCAACGGGCGGCAACGGGCAGCACAGGCACGGGCAGCAACGGGCAGCACAGGCACGGGCAGCAACAGAGCGCACGAGGGCGCGGGCAGAGCAGAGTGCACGAGGGCGCGGGTGAGACAGAGCGCACGAGGGCGCGGGCAGAGCAGAGCGCACGAGGGCGCGGGTGAGACAGGGCGGCTGCACAGGGTCCAGGAGTGGCGTCGCGGGCAGCTGCAGGGTCGGCTGCTGCAGGGGCGGCTGCTCCAGGGGCCAGGGGCGGCTGCTGCAATTCTATGTGGACATGGACGCGTCCAGCGTCCTATACGCCAGCGTCCAGACGCTGGCGTATATACGCTGGACGCCCCGAGGTCTGGGCCTGGACGCTTGGAGCGGGCAGGTGAAAAATTTTATCCGGGCAGGGAGAAAAAAATGGGGGGAGAGGGGGGAAAGAGGGGGTAGACGGCAAAATACCATACTTCTCCACAATATTGTCACATACATAAAAAACCGAACTATCCAAATTATATAGTTTAGGGTTACACACACAAATCAAATCCAGAACCACACACTCTCTCCCATCTAATGGTACTCATCCGCAAACATCCTTTCATCTACGATTGGCGAATTGCATCCGCGACCTCCACGGGAACGGCGGTGCAGATCCGCACCACGCGCCGTCCCTGACCCGGCCATTCAGCAAGGTGACTAGCGCAACGGCTATGGCTGCGGGCGAAAGTGTGGTGGCAAAACCGACACTCCACTTGCTTTCCCTTGACGCCTGCCTTCGTGAAACTGCGATAGTACTGAAATGTAGGGTGGGTACTATCAGGATCGTACACACGGTCCGTGCTCAATGAGGTTCTAGTTTCCGCCATGGATTCCTGCCGGTGAAGGTAAGTAATGCTGGAATGGAACGCAATCGTGAGGAAGGAAATGAGCCTGCCAGTGTTTCTCGATCTAATTAGTAACGTGACGGGGGGGTTGGGTTGGCTAGATTAGAAGGGGTGAAATGCGGTGGCCTCTGAAATTTTGTTGGATCTGGTTCTGTTTTGGCGCGTCAGAGCAAGATCTGAAATCGCGAATTCAATTTTCGAGTTGAAATCGCGAATTCAATTTTCGCCAGTCGATTTTTTTTTTCGGGCTGCCCGAATTGTTTTTGGCCGAGCGTCCAGCGTCCAGCGTACGGACGCTAGCGCAAATACGCTGGACGCTCGCCGTCCAGAGCGTATATGCCCACATAGCTGCAATTGCGGCTGTTCCAGGGGCCAGGGGCGGCTGCTGCAGGGGCGGCTGCTCCAGGGGCCAGGGGCGGCTGCTGCAGGGGCGGCTGCTCCAGGGGCCAGGGGCTACTGCTGCAGGGGCTGCTGCTCCAGGGGCCAGGGGCGGCTGCTGCAGGGGCGGCTGCTCCAGGGGCCAGGGGCGGCTGCTCTGGGTCCAGGGGCGGCTGCTCCAGGGGCGGCGTCGCTGGTGCAGGGCAGGCCCGCGCGCGGCCCGCAGGGCAGCACGACGGACATGGCGCGGGCGCAGGTGAGGCAGAGGCGGTGGCCAGGGGGGGGGGGGGCGCCGCGACGAGCAGGGGCGACGCCCCAGGGGCGCCGCGACAAGCAGGGGCGACGCCCCAGGGGCGCCGCGACGAGCAGGGGCGGCGTCCAGGGGGCGCCGCGACGAGCAGGGGCGACGCCGCGCGGGTCCCGCAGGGGCGTCGCGACGAGCAGGGCAACGCCGCGCGGTTCCCGCAGGGGCGTCGCGACGAGCAGGAGCGGCGACGCACGGGTCCCGCAGGGGCGTCGCGAAGGGCAGGGTACGGGCGGGAAGAACAGGCCCGCGCGCGGACGTGGGGCAGACGCGCAGGTGGCGTGAGGGCAGGCCGCGCGCGGGACAGGATGACGCCGTGCGCCCGGGGCGCACGGCGGGCAGAAAACCGCCGTGCACCCCGAGCACACGGCGGGCAGAAAATCGCCGCGCGCCCGGGGAGCACAAAGAAAATACGCCGCGCGCCCGAGGCGCGCGACAGGATGACAGGCAGCGGAAGCAGACTGGTGGGCCCGTTAAGGAAGGCCGCAGGAAGGTTCCTGCTCTGATTACCATGTTGAAAAGTAGGAGTAGGGCCTAGGCTTAGTAGCCTAGGCCAAAGGGAGTCGAGAGAGTTTAACAAGAAGAAGTGAGGGTTTCACTATAGCAAACAAGGAACATATAGGCAAGAGAACAAGAACAAGAGGTGCACCACCAACAGTAAATTAATAACTACACTAAACTACAGCTACAGGCAGTTACACAAATATATTCTGACACTAGGAAGAGCTTGGCTATAGCAATTCGATCCCACGATCGACTGGACAATGTGAGCATACACGGTACATGGCAATACAGTACGAGTGCTGCTTCCGAAATGAATGGAGCTGGATCCGGCAACGACACATGTCAACGTTGTCGCCATGAGGTGATATAACCCAAGGGGCATAGTAGTAGGCCGTACGTCTGTACGAGGTGGCAGTTGCCGATAAAATCGTCGGCATCGACACGCTCTGTGCAGCTGTACCTCAGGACCTGGCGAGCATCATTCAGAGGTCTGCCACCTTAGTGCCCAGAAGACCACATGATCCAGCTGGATCCCGTCCCGCAGCCCGTTATAGTCACAGTAGGCTCAAATGTGCCTAATATGAAAGAGTGCACAGTTGGATTTCTGCACAGCGGCTTTAAACGTTCATAGAGTTCTGGTCACGGCTTCAAATGACCTGATTCAAATCGGATCTGGAGCGTCTTAATGTCACCTAAATAGGTAACTTAGATCGCACGATTTAATTAAGAACTGACGACACAGCATTGGTTTGAATGAACGGCACTATGGCAGCCACTATAGTCTTAGAACATAAATTAGGAAGAGTTACGAGTTGGGAATGACTCCCAGCTCCTACAAACCCCAAGAGCCGAGGTACAGTGATGTGGAACAGTGCCACACTGTCCCCAACCACGAAGGGTCTCGAAACTACCCTTCACAAGGGCCTACACCAAGTGAAATGTTACACTACACAAAGTAATGTAGCTTTTTTCATTATCTTGAGGTGTACCCTTTTTTTGGGGCTTCGTGATCGCTTGAATCTTGAAACCAAGGCTCTGAAACCACCAAAAACTCATCCTTAAGTTCTTGATGGGTCTTCTGCACACACCTGCGACACGCTGAATGTTCCACACACGACAAAATAGAAACCGTGCACGAGACACACGACAAATAGAAACCGCGCACGGGACACAAACGACCGCGTGACACGTGACTAGCGATAACTCGCTATTTACTCGACTCACATATTCAACATCATGACTCAACATTCACACACTATTATAAGCATAAAATATATATTATCTCATGCCCTCATTCCATTCCATGCACACGCGCATGCACGCATACGGACAACAAGCCGAGTGCAAACCGTAGGGTTGCACCAACACGGCCAACCGTTCAAACTCAATGGCGGTTGAGTTAGCCGAAACTGGCCATATTAAGAAGCCAGCTGAATTATCTCCTCTCCCAATGGTTTTATCCAGCCGAGCACATCACCTTTCGCGGCACCAATACCGTTTACGCCGAGAAGTACGGAGGTTTGTGCATGTGCATTGATAATCGAATGCTGAGCCGGGTCACTATCAAGCCGCGCTACCCGGTTCTGCGGGCAGACGACATGCTAGATCAACTTCGCTATTTCTGGAACCACAAAAATTTGGGTGTTCGACGACTACTCTCCAAAGACCGCCTGTCGCACACACTACGACAGTTACGAGTACTCTGTAATGCTGATTGGACTGACGAACGCATCTTCGACGTTCCAGCTGACCATGAACTGGGTGTTTTGAGACCTGCTGGATAAAACCTTCATCGTTTACCTCGACGACATTCTGGTCCACGGCAAGATTCGGGACCATTTGGATTTTGGCGCTTACAACATAACCAACTCTAACAAAAGGCTCTAAGTGCAGGTCCCTAAAGTTGAAGCTGGAGTTTCTAAGGCATGTGGTTTCGATCGAAGGGATTAAAAATGAACCTCGCAAAGTGAGAGCGATTTCTTACTGGAAGTCACCAACGTAAATCATGGCGCTGCATATTTTCCTTAGTTTGGTAAATTACAACCGCTGGTTTGTCCCGAATATGGCGGGGGTAACCAAGCCGTTGGCCGACCTTTTGCACAAGCACACTGTTTTCTCGTGGGAAGAGAGAGAGAGTAGCCGACCCTCGACAAAGTCAAAAACATTCTGAGCAAACACCCGGTACTTCGGCTCACAAATATTTCTCGACCGCTCGAAGCTGTAACTGACGCTAACGATTTCGCAATCGACGCCGTCCTTTTATAAGATTTCGGCAACGGGCTGCAACCCGTTCCATACAAGCCACGCAAAATACAACCAGCCGAAAGCAACTACCAGTCCACAACAAAGAGATGTTGAGCATCTTGCACGCACTTCGTACCTGGTGGTGCTACATGACGGGAGCCGACGTGATGATTCGGGCAAACTACAACTCATTATAATACCTGCGAGTTCCGCTGCGGTTGGACTTCCTCGGGTCCAACTTCAACTACACTACAAAAGAGCGCCAACAACATCGCCGACGCCCTGACCCGACCATCGATGCAGACTGCAGCAGTCATAATTGCCCAGTCCAACTGACTATTATCAGGACTAATCACCCACGGGTACAACACCGATCATTGTTTTAAGCGGAATCAACATCACCGGGCCACGACACCTCACGTGAACCACATGCCGGTACCAACCGGATTAGGGTTCCTTCATACCGGCCCTTACGCGGATTGCTGACGGAGGAGGTTCATGACTCAAACCTCTCTGGGCATTTCAGCATCAACAAGATGCTGAAATTATTACTGGCCCGATATGCTGTCGGACGGCAGAGCTACGTGACAACCTGCTCGCATTGCCAAGCCATGAAGTCGTCGCGAGAAAGGCCAGCTGGATTGCTGCAGCCCTTGGAGCCACCCGAACGACCGTGGCAACAAGTGACGATGGACTTTGCTATGGGAATACCAACTGGCACCAATGGCAACGCCTATGTGTTGGTCATCGTTGACCGAATGACAAAATATGGCGCTTTTTGCACCATGCCGCACGACGATTACGTCGAAGCTATTCATCTCAACACTCGTACGCCTACACAGGTTATCTTCGACGATCATCAGCGGTCGACATCCGAGATCCACGTCGAAGTTATGGTTGGAGACATTGGCACAGTTAAGCACCCGCCTGCACTTCCCGTCGTCGTAGCACCCGCAAACCCACGATCAAACCGAAAGGACCAATCATACTATGGAGCATCAGATTTGCATATAACAATGCTCCCTCCGCAAGGACCAACCAATCGACCATATTTATGGAATAGACTCAGTGGTACCTTCGTCGACCTCACCCGGCAACCTGGTACCACGTTCGCAACAATTCGTCACTGAACTACCGTACAAGCTGCGTAAGAAAAAGCACCAAAATTTATCTGCAAAGCGAATACCATTGCTAGCAGCAACGCCGATACGCATTGAAGGTATTACTCTTTAATGCGGGACATTTGGTATTTTCAGACACGAAGAATCTTCGCCTGCCCGAGCCGACCAAGCTTTTCCGAGGTTCGTGGGACCTTTTCGCATCATCAAGATGTGACAGGTGTCATCATCAAATGCGTTACTGTCAAAGGTTGTAGTCGTAGTGATG